CATGTGCCACAGGGCATGACTTTAGATCAAATATAGGACATGCATTCCTTTTATTGCACATACTGTTCTTATTGCAGGTTACCCCGATTCTACAAAGAAACTCTCTCAGTTTAGAAAACAAACTGTAGCCAAAAAGGCTCTCAATTGTGTTAAAACTTGGAAATACATACCCTAACACAAAAGTAAACTCAAGTTTTATCAAATGCAATCAAGACTTTCAAGATAGATACGTGGAGTTTAACGTGCCAAAACGACTATATGATTATGAGATGCCGTAGCGGAAAGCTCCAAAAATTTCGACCACCTGGGGTAACGTGCACCCAAATCTAGAATTTCAAACAAAATAGAAATTTGCTTCATACCGCTTTTTAGAGACATGAAAGTGAAAAGTGTGCTCATAGTAGTTGAATGTTTATTTTGCATTGTTTCACCACAAGTGTGAAGAAATTAATGCTCTAGTAACAAATTGCAACGTCACGCGAAGAATGCCAAGAAATTCAAAACTTCAGCACACACCTCAAGCAGAAAGCAAGCACAAAATTAGCATGTAGAGATTATTGATATGTGGGGTTTAACGTCGCAAAACCACCATTTGATTATGAGAGACGCCGCAGTGGAGGGCTCCGGAAATTTCGACCGCCTGGGGTTCTTTAACGTGCACCCAAATCTGAGCACACGGGCCTACAACATTTCCGCCTCCGTCGGAAATGCAGCCGCCGCAGCCGAGATTCGATCCCGCGACCTGCGGGTCAGCAGCCGAGAATCTTAGCCACTAGACCACCGCGGCGGGGCTAGCATATATAGATAGGACGAACATGAAGAAAAGAATGTTCCAGCTTGACACACAAAAGCACGCTAACAGAAAGATGCACAAAACGAATGCACAAGTATACACAAGACGAGTGCAAACAAATGTCATAATTCTTACTTCATAGAGCGTAAGCAGCACACACCCTTCGTGAAATCAACCGTGGGTGAAGTGACCATCGTCCTCTCTTTAACCACTGTAACTTCAAAGCGAGCTTTGGGTCGAAGCGCAAAAGGTACAAAGCACACGAATCCAGAGATAAACATGCGCGCGAGTGAGCCACCAGGCTATACTCGGCAACAACTTTTCTTAGCGTTGAAGCGAAGGCTAAACAGGCAAATCGCATGCATCCTACTGCCATTGACTGTAGTTCCACAATAGTGCCAGTATTTTCAACTAAAATATAAAAGTTCCTTCTTTCTTTTCTACATGAAGCTATTTGAAACAGGACGCAGCTCGCAACAGTAAGATATTAGTATTTCTTTGAATTTATTCGTTGAGACTGCGTTTATGAACACGTGAGCAAGTCCCGCATTTTTACATGTAGATCGAACACTAAGCTGCACCTGTGTCTACATGACACGATGGTGCGCCCCTATCACTTTTCGCTGTGTTATGAAATGCACACTAAATCATCAAATTACTTCACGAAGTGCTACATGTGCAGAAGCTCCCCCCCCCCCCTCCCGTATCTCCTCTCACTGCCAAGTTGTCGCAGAGTATAGAGAACATTTATACGCACTTCGACCATGCAATATGTAGGCGCATGCGTACAGTGAGGAGCGGGATGGTGTAGCGTGACGCCCTTGAGAGAATGCGCACTAAACGTTATGGGAGCGGTAGCCGCGAGCCTGCAGATTACAGAAGAGGAGGACGATCGCGTGTGCGCTCGTGGCACGCAGCAGCGACTGGCAGCGGGCAGTTGAGGCTTGGGCTTGGCGGAATAAACCCGGTTCCTTGCCTGGCTCCGCGTCTTCTCTGCGGGGTTCTGGGCCGAGCAGTCTCGACCCCCCATACAATGTGCGCCGTCGTGCCACCTCGCTACCGATTATAGAAACGCGCTGAAATTTCCAAGCTCCGAGGACCGCCAGCGGTACATGGTGTGTATAAATGGCTGGCCATTTACACACCGTTCACTCTGTGGCTTAGTAGTTAGCGTCATGCGCTGAGGAATGCAAGGTTGCTGGTTCAACAACAGGCAGCAGAACTTTTTCTTCTCGTTTTATTTCTTTGCAATCGGTTACTGACGAAGCCGTGGTGCACCCCGGTATAAAACACTTCTGGGTAAACAAAATAAAAATGCTCTAAGGTTCCAGATTAAATCGATTCTAACTACTACATGGTTCTTCAATGTGGCAGAGGGCAAAGACGACTGATCAGGCACTGAAAAGGGGTGTGCGAGTCATTTTTTGAGATTCCTTTCAGTTATGTGTTATCAGCAAGATGTAATAGTCACATGCTTATGTATGAATGAGTTCTGTCAAGTCGGCGCCTCTTTAATGGCCTATTTTAAGAGCAATTCAATACTCTAAAAGAGGCATTTTGCACAGTTATGTCTTTTCAATACAACTTGCTTTTTGTTGCCTGGAGAGTTCTGGACCTACGTGCACCATTTTCCCACGTGATAGCCAGACAACAGCCCACAGAACACTGCGTGGCATCTGTGCTAACAAACCGTGCTCGCACAGACAAGTCCCCGAGTACTCAGCCATGAAAAAACATGCTGAATCTGCATTGGCAAACTGCAATCATTTAAGGACTAAAAAGAAACATGTAACACTTAAGATGAAAATAAAAATGGTAAATTTTACTATTTTCTCAGATGGGCACACATTTACCTTAACTGAATATGGCTTTAAACAGTGACATAAGCATGAAAAAATTTAGTGCCCTCCAAGGCGTTCGAAATGAAAGCGGAAGCATGTGCTGCAAGAGCTTGCCTTCACAACAACAGCTTGTCTGCTATCTTTGCACAGAAATCATAGGAACATGAAGCATTACTCACCATTCTATTTATAAATTCACCTACATGATTCAGTACAGTATGATATACTTTTTTCTTCAGCTACTGCATCATATATTGAACATTCCTGTGGCACTCAAGCTTATGTGGTTATTTAAGGAGACCCACAATTGGCCAGAACGTGATTAGATTGCAGTAGAAAGAAAAAGAGTGTGAGTTATAATGACAGCATACTTTAGGCATCTGAATAGATTTATATCTAAAATCGCATTCAAAGGTAACCAAAACTGGCATGTCGCACCCCTAGCGCAAGAGCTATGAACCACAAATATGAAGCGCTAATAACATAGCTCTGCCTATTTAAAGTGCACCACAATTAGGTTTCGGAATATGAAATTTATTCATCTTTGATTGTTTCTATGTGGCTGTCGAGGCAAAAGCAGTAGAGCATGAAAAGTGGCACTGCTTTCGTGGCCTCTGCAGCGAAATGCATGCAGCATTTCCAGAGTAGGTCGATTCCAGTCGCGTCAGGTACGTTAGAAAAAGCCTGCAAGCTTGTGAACGTGATCGCTACAACATGTGAAATGCCCTCAATCTACTGCTCTGTGGAAAATTGCTACTACTTGATGTGCGCTGCTGCTGAAGGCGATGGTGGCGGTCCGTCGGATTCGTCGCTACCGCCATCGAAGCATGTCGCTCTGGCGCTACTTGATAGGGGGCCGAATTTCGTACTCGCATGCGAGCTGAGATTTGTTCCTCTAACTCGCTCAAGTTGTTAAGCAGTGACATATCGAAGCCGCCCTACTACAGCCGCATGGGAACTACACTGCGTGAATTGTCGATCACTTGTGAACGCGTCGTTTTGTTTTGGAAGACTTGGCTTCGCTCAACTAGGCTAAAGTCTTAAAAACAACCTGTGCATGGCCAAAAGTACTTGCATAAGAAGCCCCGGGAAAGTGCTGCAACTCTTGTGAAATAATATAGCATGCTAGAAAGTTGTGGTCGCGGGACTGCAGGTTTGACAAACACATCACGTGTCTGTACTTAGGGTTTCACTTTTCATCACTGCTGGCGTTACACTAGTATATAATCCCTATCGCAATCACATCCACTGTTTACAGCACGAGTCCTCAAGACTGCATAATTGCCGCAAATTGAAAAATTCTGATTATAAGTGTTCTACGGCACTTTCCGCGTTACCATTCTGTGATTACAAGCTCAGACCAGTAAGCTTTCCATTGCACTCAAGAAAACTGGTACTATAAATATTGGTTGTAGGTCCCTTTAACAAGCAGGTAAGAAATTTCAAATATTCATTATGATGCATAGAAACAAAAAGTTTGCTTGTCCTCCTCATGGCAAAGTCATTAGAGCAGCTTCTCTAGCGTTCAAATTAGCTAGGCGGCAACAGTTGCACTCCAGCATCTTCCTCATTGAGGAGGGACCAACACTGCTGCCCTGCCCATTTTGTAAATCACCAGAGAGCATTACAAATGCAGATTGATCGATGATTGATTGATATGTGGGGTTTGATGTCCCAAAACCACCATGATTATGAGAGACACCTACTCTCGGCTCCAGAAATTTCGACCACCTGTGGTTCTTCAACGTTCACCCAAATGTGAGCACACGGGATTACAGCATTTTCGCCTCCATAGAAAATGCAGCCACCACATTACACATGCAGATAAACTCATGCAGAAAGGCAGTGTGTGTGTGTGTGTGTGTGTGTCTAAATCTTGCATGTGTGTCTATCAACCCAAGTACTACATTAAAGCTCCATTAATGCAACTCTAACCAGTGTGGCAGGCAAATGTGTGTACCCTACACCCACATACAAGCAGTCGAAGCTTAGCCTCCATCAAAAAACTGCTGATGCAGCTATAATTTTCTCACTTCCCAGGTGCCTGGCCTGGATAGCTATTGTTGGCATGGAGTTCTAAAAAAAATGATCCTGAATGGCACTTATTGCCATTACCATTAGACTTCGAAACATGAAGTACTTGTGAAAAAAAAATTTAATATGCACAGTAAAAGGCCAACTACTATAGAATCCCACTTTTTTGACAGGACCTGCCTCCAAAAAGCCCCAAAGAATATTGACAGTGATGGCCGACCGTGACCCGGTAGCAAAGCTGACAAGTGCAGTATGTCTGGATTGGCTTTAGGAATGCTTTAAGCAAAATGCCGCATGCAGTCCCACCCTTGTATAAGAGCGAGGTTACGTACGTTCTCCTGGGTTCCGTTGTCGGGCGCATGCATGGTCTCGATGCAGAGGGTGAAGTTTCCGGCCATGTAGTCGGGGTTGGTGAGCACGGTGCGGCAGTAGGGGTAGGCGTTCCATGCCTCCTCGTGGACGGCCAGCGAGCCCTTGGGCATCAGCATGCGGATGAAAGGAGGCACCTTGCTCTCCAGGTGGTATATCTTGTAGGTGTACTGCCCCTTGTTGTACTTGCCGCCCAGCAGCTCCTTGCCCTCGAACGGCTCATTCTTGATCACCTCGATGCCCTCACCACCACCCGTCTCGTTCTTGCTCGCCTCAGCCACCGAGTACAGCTGGGCCACCTGGTACTACGGCCACCACCAACGAATTGAGCCTCAACCCCGGAAACGCCGTGACGTCGGAGCGCGCGCACAGCACCGGCCAGTCAGTCGGCGACAAGCCGAGCGGGCATCATCCGGTCCGGCGGCGGCATGCGCGCGCTCCGCGGCCACGCCGACTCGCAAGAACGCCGGCTTCTTACCTCTTCCACGGTTATGGGAAGAACGACGCGACTGAAAACAGAAACGGGGAAACAGCGGTGAGAAGAAACCCGGTGCAATCGTAAAAGCTGCGGCCCGTCGGCGAAAGTCTTGACACCCGCAGCGGAATGGGATGCGCCGCCACCCCCGCGGTCCATTGAATGTCGCCGAGCGCCGGCTCGGAAACCACGTTTGCGACCGGCACTCGTGCTTTCCGAGCCGCTAGGTCCTCGAGTCGCTCGACGGGCTACAGCGAGAATTGTGGGTGCGCTACTTACAATTCCTTGATGAGCATCGCGGGGTCGGCTCAGCAGCAGCGTCGCATACGTCGGGCGGCTGAGGGAGGACTACGTCACTCGGGGAAGAGGCCGGCTGTGACCTGCGGGAAATGGCAAGCTAGCACCCCTGGCGTCAGCCACCCTCGCCGCTGGCTCAGTCCGCTCGGTGTGCGGCCAATTTTTGGCCGCCTAGAATTTCTTCGAAGCCATAAAAAGCCCGCTGTTGTCTTCCTCCACTTCAAGGTGGCCCGAACTGCAGAACAATCGATACGCGAAGCGCCATCTTCCGACTATCGTGATGGGTGCGTCATCCTAGACGTCATCGACGTCAATTGGATACAATGTTTCGTGTCTTGCTGCTCAAAACCCACTATGCATGCTGTGCCTGCCCCAAGGGAGAAAACGCCCGAAGGCAATGGTCATTTGGTTTGGGCGTCGCACGCAACTTGAATAGATATGTAACAATCGCGGCGAGCTAGCTGCTTAGTCGGTCGGCACCAAGGCATTCGCATGCATCGCTGTAGTCTCGCTCGCATTACCCTGCAAATTATTGAGCATGGTTCACATGTTGTCACCCAAAAAAAAATATTTCAACATTTTCCGAATACTGTTCGAGCATTGCATTGAGCCCATACTTATGCCGCGTGTGCGCCATTCTCAAGGTACGTAGTCATGATGCACCAATTACGATCGAGGCGCGACGTCATCAGCTAACATTTCAGCACATGCGTTGTACCATAGCCTCTCGTTTGTCTGCCGGATGAGTGCGAAACGCCCATCATCTAAGGCGGCGCTGCCTACGTAGGAATCAGAACCTTCAGAGACAGAGGATGTCATTCGTAAGCTCCGAAAAGCCTCTGGGAGTGTACATGTGACCATATGCACAGTCCCAGAGGTCTGGAGGCTGTCTCGTGGAATTGAAAAGAGGGTAGTGGAGGCCAACTGTGTGATCAAGGGTATGACCCGGCAACTCAGATACAGCGTAATGGAAGTGCACCAAGACGTGTACGAGCCCGGCAATCGCTCCTTTGCACAGGATGGCATTCACTACAGTGGTGTGACGGGCAGGAGGGTCGGTAATAGAAGGGGTCGTCAAGCCACAGCACCCAGAGCCCTGAGGCCAACAGTGTAGCCAAAGACAGTTCTAAAGGGGCACAAATATTCAAGCCACACGGAGTCCATGGGAGAAAAAATCGACGTAAGCACAAGGGTCGAGCTAGTCAGACGTGGCTATATTAACATGCAGTGTGGCAGGAATAGGTTAAAGTGGGAAGAGATAGAAGAGCAGTTGAGGCAGGAGGAGCTGATGGTATTTGGAGTTGTGGAGTCACATCTTCGGGACATGGAGCAACCACCTTGCAATGCGGACTACGTATGGGAATATTGTAATAGAACAGAAGACAGCTGAAAAGGGGGTGGCATTGGGGCATTCATTCATAAAAGTACAGACTGGCAAAGGGTCAAGAGAGGAACATTTATGGCTAAAAGGGAAAGTGGCAGGGCAAATGACTCTCCTTGGTTTGGTGTACTTGTGGACGGGAGCAAAGGCCAAAGAGGAAAACCAGGCAATGGTCGAGTGTATATCAAAGGACGTTGAAGAATTAGGAGGAATTAAGATGTGCGATTACCTGAACATAACTAGCAAGTAAAAAAAGGATCTGGTGGTTTCCTGGCGACTCATTGCGCAGAATGCAAGTGCAAGCCGCTGTTTGATAAAACAACTGTGTTGGCTACTCTCTCTAACGAGAGTGCAGGACTCATCATTGAGGTGACGGCGATAGCAAACCGAAGCTGCATCAGCAAGCCATCCGCCGCACCAACAGAAAAAAAGAACTCGATTACTTGAACTCACAAGCAGAAGATTTTTCTTTGTGAATTCACTGCTGCTTAGTTTTTTCTTTATATTTGTGCATTCATTGATTTCATTGTGATGTCATGTGATAGGTATATATTCTTGCTGTTTTGCAATAAAATTATAGTTGGAAGTTAGTGCTTGTCCTTGCTGTTTCTTTAGACCGCTGTTACCTTTTAGCGCTTCAGCTGTTTTAGACAAGAATACCAACTAGCCCGCCCCTTGCCTTCACTTTGGCCGGATATATCACCCACGCTACCGCAGGCTTGGTCAAAGCTTTCGCCAGCTGGACATTTTTGTCAGGTTTGGCGCAAGGCCAGCTGCATGTACCGTCGTCAAACCACGACGCTGGTACAACATCAGCCTTTTTCGTGTCAAAGAAGTCGACGACCGCAAATGACTTCTACAAATAAACATGATGGTCAAACAATTTTACGAGTGACTGAAGCAATGCTTTAACGATTAGTCTACAGCTGCGTAAAGTTATTATTCTCTGATTAAAGCCACATTCTATATTTTCATGGAGGAGGCCACGCCTAGCCCCTCGCAAGTGGAAAGCGTACAGGGAAAGCCGGCCTGCGATACAACCAAATCGGTTTTTTGATTATTTGACACAGGCATGTTTTTTACCCATGATCCCCCGAATCAAAGGGCGATGCCATGAGCTTATCATGATCAAATAAAGGAACGATAAAAGTAGGAGGGCCATTTGTAGACATGCGCTGGGATGAATACACGAACACATTACAGCCACAACGCGAGACTGCATGTCTTGTGCTGGATTCGGTTTTTCCGGGCGAAAATTTCGAAGGCGAAAAGGGAAGAGTACCAAGCTTTTACAGCGTCAGCAGCAGGATAAATCCAACGACGATATTTAAGCACGCCGCGCACAATGTACGTGCACCAGGCGCAGCCCACCAGCGGACAAAGTTCACTGGAATTTGTCTCGGCTGCGTTCAGCGACAAAGTTCCTTTTGGCGTTGCGTAAATCAGTTGCCAGACTTTGGGGTGGTTGTTGCCAAACTGCCGCTGAATTTGGCTTAGAAGTTTTTTTTTTGTAGTTGTGGTTTTTTTTGTAAGAGTTTGGTGCCATTGCGGTGCATTTCGCGAGTGCATGAGCAACGCTGGCCATTTTAATTAACGGAATGAACCGAGCCTAGCAGAAGTCGAGTGTGGTGCTGCCGTGCCATTAAGAGGCCGTTTTAATCATCGCAATAAACCGCGCATTACAGAATTCGTTTTAATTAACAGAATGAACCAAGCCTAGCAGAAATATAGCGTGGCGCTGCCGTGCAATTAGGAGGCCAATTTAACTAACGGAATGAACCGCGCAATACAGGATTCGCTTTAATTAACGAAATGAACCGAGCCTACCAAAGGTCGAGCGTGGCGCTGCCGTGCAATTAGGAGGCCAATTTAATTATTGAAATTAACCTCACTTCTGCTAGGCACGGTTTATTCCGTTAATTAAAACGGCCTCTTAATTGCACAGCAGCGCCGCGCTCTAATTCTGCTAGGCGCGGTTCATTCCGTCAATTAAATTGGCCTCTTGTTTGCACGGCAGCGCCGCGCTCGACTTCTGCTAGGCGCGGTTCATTCCGTTAATTAAATTGGCCTCTTGTTTGCACGGCAGCGCCGCGCTCGACTGCTGCTAGGCGCGGTTTATTTTGTTAATTAAAACGGCCAGCGTCGCTCGTTCGCGAAATGTACCGCGGATGGCACCAAATTCTCACAAAAAACCACAACTACAAAAAACATTTCTAGTCAAATTTAGCAGCAATCTGGCAACACTGACTTTCCCAATTTGGCAACTATTTGAGCAACGCTAGAGGTGTGCGCCGATTGGTCGGCGCGCCGCCGCCGATAGTTTTCACCGCGCCGCCGCCGCCGACGTGAACTGATCGGCGCGCCGCCGCCGCCGCCGCCGCCGCCGACGTTTTTCATCGGCGCAATCGGCGCGCCATTTATGCGCCAGTACGGACTTTTCACAGATTTGTCTTCCTTTTCATCTTGATTTATAGCTTCGTTTCACATTTTCTGTAGCCAGTAAAAACCAGGCTTCTTAGTTATCTTCATCCAGCTTCAGAGACCGAGAGTACCACTATGAACAGCGGAACGATTTCGGCGGCCGCTGCATGAAATGACATATTGGACAAATGGACGAAAAATAAATGTAACAGTTACAGTAAAGCATAGACCCCGCCATCTTAGGCTCAAAAGCAATTTTTGCTGTTTTTTGTGTCGTAATTAGCTATGATTATGGTGATACGACGTTGAATGTAATGGCCCAGCGTTTTGATGCGTGTGAGTTCGCCATAGCACAATTCGAATATTCATACGGATGAAAAACGGCATCATTATCAGTCCAAGATGGCAGCCTATAATTGTGCCCGAAACAGGGCGTATATAATAAAGAAATGAAGTGGTAGCAGTGCAGCACGAATGCAGCGCGTTAGATGAAGGGAGGAGGAGGAATAAATGAGGAAGGACCGGGAGGTTAGGCGTTAGATGAAGAACTACACAAAACCCCGAAAGATGAAATCGAAAGGGAGAAGTTTAATGAAGATTATAAGCGTCGAAGCATAATACATGCTCGAACCTACTCAGGGTATATCAGCACCTGTCCGTGGTGTTAAAGTTGATAATTTTCGAGGATGACCACCTATATGCAGCGTCTGAACATGCTGCCGAAAATATTCACCGTCTGTTTTATTGTTTAACTTATCTGTTTGTACCGGCCTTTAAAACATTGGATTCCCGGGATGAAGATGCCAAGGCAGTAAGATGGCAAGAGAGAGAAAGGAAGGCTGGGGGATCAACCATATCTTGGCATCCGGTTTGCTGCCTAGCACTGGGGGTTGAGAAATAGGGGCAAGAAAGGGCGTGTAGAAAGACAGAAAAGAAAACGCATGTGCACTCAGGAGTAAGATGGCAAACTTAACAGAGAATTTATTAAATTCTGTACAGACAGGGCGAGAGGTCTCTTGCGAATGAGCTGGCTGGCTCACTATAAAGTGTACGTTTTGACTTAATCAGGGAATGGGTCCAGAATGCGCTGTTGAATCACGAGACACACACGCCATTTCTGACGGTCCCGCTCACACTCGCTCAAGTCAAGGTCTTTGATAGGGGCGTGGCCACCTCACTGCACCTGTGACACCAAGAAACCATTGTGGTCGTCTCGTCGAACGTCTTATGGTGTCAGAATGCCACCTTACTTCCCGGCTAAGATGGACAGTACACGGCGGACAGCAGGCTGGCAGCCCTTCGGTGACTTGTTTGATGAACAAAGAACGCGGCCCTCCCCCGTCGGCCCAGGCGCCGCGCGTAACAACGGCTATCCAGTGGTGAGAAGAGGCGTAATAAGCTTGTCTGAGACCACCAGTTTTAAAAAGAACAAAACAAAATTTAAAAAACTTGCCTGTAGAC